AAGTCCAGTGAAGGGTTTGTTGTTAAATACAAGTATGACAGCAATTATGAAGGAATGTGCATGTTTGAATGCGAGTATTAATGCACTGTTTATGTGTCTCAATAAATAGTGAAAGTCTAGACAGGGCAGTGGTATGTAATGAAATTTTTAAAAATTAATTATTATTATTATTATTTTCATTTTTTTGCAGCTTAATTGTAGTTAGTTTTTTCACTTCTATTTATTTTATTGGATTTCTTTTGGTTAATTTTTTTTTCTAATGTTTTTTCTAATTTGAGCTTTTTTGTCTAAGATTTTTAAGAAGATGCACGATTACACAGTTTATACATACAGATTAAGATCTACAGTAAAGAGAACAAAAATAAATAACTAAAATACATGGATGCATGGTATGATGGTTGGCTGGTGGGTTGATTTTTTTCTCAGCTAGGTTATATTTCCCATCTGGTATGTCTAGTTTTCTTCTTTAGTCACAGTATTTTTTTTTTTTTTAATATTTTATTGCTGTATATTATTTGGTGTGTGTTCTCTCCATGTCTGTGTGGGTTTCTTCCAGGATTTCAAGTTTCCTCCCACCTCCCATAAACATACCGGTGACTCTAAATTGCCCCTAGGTGTGAATGAGTGTGTGAATGTGTGTGTGTGTGTGTGTGTGTATGGTGCCATGCGATGGACTGGCTTGCCATCCAGGCATTCCCTATTCCCCATATTGCACTCAGTGTTCCTGGGATAGGCTCTGGATCCACCATAAGCCTGACCAGGATAAAGCACTATACTGAAGATAAATAAATGAAGGAATTAATATATTATTCAGTATTTAGTTATAGTAGAGTTAGTTATAGTATAGTAGTCTTCATGAGCACTCGTGTGTGTGCATCACTGGCACTGTAACAATACAATATTGCCAAATAATTTCTGTTACAATCCTCTCTTATTATTTACTACTTGTATATGACCAGCCCTGTTTATTAACCTTATATGATATTATGACTGTAGTTCAACCGTCATCAGCATTCCAGCTGTATCATTTACTTTTTTATTTTCTTTTCATTCTAGTTTGTGGACTTGCATTGTACAATATACTTGTAAGACTTTTGGAAAAAGTATTTGACAAATTAATACATATAAATTGAAAGATTGTCAATATTAATATATATACACAGTCATGTGAAAAAATTAGGACACCCCATTAAATATTCAGTTCTTTATTAAGAAATGTCAACATGTCAATTTCTGATCTTGTTTTAATTTGTACCTGTAGATGAAAGTGATGCAATTGCATGTAAACAACAACAAAAAAAATCACTTTGTTTTCACTTATTAAACAAAAGAAATCAACAAAAATGAGTATTTCAACTGAGCAAAAAGTTAGGACACCCTATGCCCTAATAGCTAGTGTTTCCCCCTTTGGCTGAAATAACCTCAATGAGATGTTTCTTGTAGCCATCTACCAGTTTCTGACATGGACTGGAAGAAGGTTTCCCCCACTCCTCAAGGCAGAATTCTTTCAGCTGTGTGATGTTTGAGGGGTTTCTTGCATGCACAGTCAGTTTCAAATCACCCCACAGGATCTCAATAGGATTTAGATCTGGGCTTTGACTTGACCATTCCAGAAGTCTCCATTTTTTACTTTTCAGCCAGTCCTTGGTGGATTTACTGGTATGTTTTGGGTCACTGTCATGTTGCAAGGTCCAGTTCCGCTTCAGCTTCAATTTTTTGACAGACGGTCTCACATGTTCCTCAAGCACCTTCTGATACAATGTAGAATTCATAGTAGATTCTGTGATGGTGAGCTGGCCAGGTCCTGCTGCAGCAAAGCATCCCCAAACCATAACACTTCCACCTCCATGTTTCACAGTTGGTATGAGGTTCTTTTGCTGAAATGCTGTATTTGGTTTACGCCAAACATGCCCTCTGTTATGGTGTCCAAATAATTCAATTTTAGACTCATCTGTCCAAAGCACATCATTCCAGAAGTCTTGGCCTTTGTCTATGTGTTCTTTGGCAAACTTCAGTCTTGCCCTCATGTTTTTCTTAGACAGCAAAAGTTTCCTCCTTGCACACCTCCTATGATAATTAAAGTTGTGCAGTCTCTTTCTGATTGTAGATTCATGCACTTTGACATCAACTGTAGCAAGAGCTTGCTGTAGGTCCCGTGATGATATTTTAGGGTTTTTGGAGACTTCTTTAAGCATCTTGCGGTCTGCTCTTGGGGTGAATTTGCTTGTACGGCCTGACCTGGCCATGTTGGCATTTGTTTTAAATGTTCTCCACTTGTAAATGATTTTCCGGACAGTGGAATGGCTGATTACAAATTCTTTTGGGATCTTTTTATATCCCTTACCAGGCTCATAAGCATCAACAATCTTCTTTCTGAAGGCCTCAGAGAGCTCTTTGGATCTCACTATGGCGATACCTATTAAGAGCAAACCAAACTAAATGTCTGAGGTTTAAATAAGGCAAGCCTCTTTCAAAATGCTCTGTAATGATATTCTAATAATTTGCACCTGATGTGATACACCTGTAGGTAATTTTAGCCATTTTAAGTACAAATAAATGTGGGGGTGTCCTTACTTTTTCCTCACAAGAAATTGGATTTTTTTTAAATTACATTTTACTGATCATTTTAAAAAGACTTTTCTTTGGTTTTATTTGTTTACTTATATTACTTGAATCTCCCAATATTGTTAAAATGAAGATCAAATGTCCATATGTTTAACTACGTAAAAAAAAACACAGGCTTTCATGGGGGTTCTAATTTTTTCCCATGACTGTATATATGTACGTGCATTTATTTATTTTTTCATTTTTTTTGATAGATAAGAGTTAACAGTTGAATAGAAGTTGCTCCTTGTCCTTTTTTTCTGTTTACAGAATCTGGGGTCCCTGAGTTTCTCCTCTGAACAGATATTTTATTAAAGCTACTGGAGTATCAGGAAAACTTTCCATACACAGGCAACACTCCTTGTTAGTAAGAGTAAGTAACAACTGACATCAACATGTCTATCAGAGAAAAGCTGAAACCCTTGGGAGAGGTCACTGCTCCTTTAATAAAATAAACATAAAAGCTGTTTTGTTTTCTTTCCTTGTTTAACTCAAAGGTTCTTGTTAAAATGACCACCCACTGCTGGAGCCACACAGTGTGCCATGCTGGACCAGAGGAAAAAAGTGCCAAAGTACACAGTGAACATTTCAGTCACACTACCAGCAACTGTTTTTATTATTATTCTTTTTTATCAAAGTCAGATCAAGGCCTGTGACAAGACCTTAATCTCAGTCAATACAGAAATAATTCTTCAAGAATACAATACCATTACCATTACGTTAAGAATACATACCATTTTACCATTTATTATAACAATCATTTTGAGATCAGTCTGAGAAAATAGTGTAAGATATTCAGTGAGTGAAATGGTATCATATGTACAGTCCTTGGAGCAGGGGTTCACAAACTTTTTCTTCAAACACAGACTTTTCCTAGTTGATTTTAAGCCATACATCTTTAATTCATCAATTCAAATGACCAGTAAATGAAGCTTATAACCAATAAATATAGTATTACACCACTAAGCAAGGAATAAATCATTACATTGCATTCATATAAACGTGATATAAATTACAGCTGCACTACTTTCAGAGCTGCTGTAATAGAAAATGAATCAACACCTTCTGACCAATCAGACTTGAGAAAGCACTTTGGTATAATTGACCCAACTTTGAAAACCATAGCTTTATGGGTAATTCCTCTGCAGGCCTTTTTCTGTCCCCGAATAAATCTCATATCTTAGTTTTACAGTTTCAGATTGATTTCAGATGTTTTATTTCTGTGAGGAGTCATGCCCCCTGGTGCTATCTGCCATTTCCTTTATTGATTCTCTGTTAGGGGTGTAAACTCCAGGCTTCCACACGATACAATACGATTTCGATTCATAAAGCAGAGATTTGATATTTGACGATACTACAGAATCTGCTATGATATGATAGAAAACGATTTTGATTCATGAGGCAATGATTCAATATTTGACTTTATCGTGGATTTGCTATGATATGGTACGATACGATACAATACGATACAATACGATGCGATATGATATGATTTTGATTCATGAGGCACCAATTTGATATTTGATGATACCACTGAATCTTCTATGATACAATATAATAAGATTTTGATTCATATGGCAACAATTCTATACTTGACGATACAACAGAATCTATTATGATACAATACAAAATGACCTTGATTCAATTTGATATTTGACAAAATCACTGAATCTGCTACGATGCCACATGATATGATTTTGATACATAAGGCAATGATTTGATATATGACGATATCATTGAAACTGCTGTGATTCAGTAGAATATGATTTTGATTCATAAAGCAACAATTCAATATTTGACTATATCACTGAATTTGCTATGATACGATACGATTTTGATTCATAAGGAAATGATTTGATATTTGACAACATGACTAAATCTGCTACGATCAGATTTTGATTCATAGTGCAACGATTCAATATTTGATGATACGACTGAAACTTCTATGATATGATACAATACAATTTTGATTCATAAGGCAGTGATTCAATATTTCAATAGTAGGCTTACTGCTAATTCTGTTAATTAAATGAGAAGTATTACTTTTTTTTTTAAATATCAGAGTACTGGGCGAATCACCATGCTAGCCTATTTACACATCAGTCTAAAAATATGAATTATATTTTCACATCAGTAGTTTGTGCCTTTTTTGATCACCCATCCATCCATTCTCCGTACCACTTATCCTACACAGGGTCACGAGGAGCCTGGAGCCTATCCCAGGGGACTTGGGGCACAAGGTAGGGGAAACCCTGGAGAGGGTGCCAACCAATCTTAGGGCACACACACACACTTTAGAGGTGCCAATCAGCCTACAACGCATGTCTTTGGACTGGGGAGGAAACTGGAGTACCCGGAGGAAACCCCCAAAGCACAGGGAGAACATGCAAACTGCACACACAGGGTGGAGAATTGAACCCCCAACCATGGAGGTATGAGGCAAACATGCTAACCACTAAGCCACCAGTGGCTTTGATTCAGGTCAATTGTCTTTTGAATTGTTGCCCCTCACCAAATTGTCACCATTACATCCCTTATCCCTAATCATAATTATATATATACAATGTTTAAAACTGCATAAAATACATACAGTATGTCCAATCTCATACTTAAGACCTTTTCTTTCTTAATGAATATTTAATTTTATTTAATTGTATTTCAGTTGTGTTTTCTTGTTAGTCTCAAATGTTAGTTTATATCCTGTTAGTACTGTATGTGGTACTTTTTATTTAAAGCATTAAACCCCTAATATGTGGGATATATGTAGATATTTAAAAATATGTTCAAGGCAAGCTGTTATTCTACCACAACCACTAAAGCTAATCTTGCCACCCTGTTATGTTCCACAGTGGAGTGAACACATAATGTACATTTTTTATTCTCATATTAGTAATTTATTTTAAAGAATATAAAAAATATAATATAGAAAGTTAAATGCATGCACTATAATGACATGAACATGTTTTCCAAAATGTCATGAGATCCAAAAAGCACCATATATGACTAACGGCCCTCATGGTTTATACTCTATCCTCCCATTTTTCTATTTATTAATGAAGAATGATGGAATCTTGTTTGGGAGAAAAATGATAAATGAGATCAGCTCTTCATAACATAACGGTCCTCGGAAGCGATTCGGACCATTGTATATGTGAGTTGTGTTCCAGGGTACTCATTCCGTCTGCGGATCCCATGAAGACTCTCCAAGGAAAACAGTGACCCCTGTGACCCCCCTGTGAGCTGTGGACCCTGGGGGACGACCACCAGGCAGGTGAATTAGAAACCAAAACATGGACTAAACATGGTGAGAGGACAGCCAATGACGTGTCTCAGTGCATGTGTTTCAGTTTGTGTATGTATAAGAGAGAGCTCAGCCTTAGGCTGCTGTTCCTGCTGATGATTCTCATGTTCTTGCGTGTGGTTTTCATTAACCTGGAAGGGGGAGATTGTGAGTCAGAAATTTAGACGGAGTTAAGAGTTGGAAAGGACAAAGAACATCTGCTGAGAAGTCTGTGTGGTTGTGTGTGTGTATGTGTGTGTGTGTGTGTGTGTGCGTGAGAGTGTGTGTTTTAACACTTTGTGTGGACTATATATATAAAACTATATGACATTGTTGATATTGTGGGAACATTCTGGTAATAAAAAACTGTAAAATCAAGGGTAGACCTTTTGTACCTTTAATATGTACTGTACCTTCCACCTGGATATTTGCACAGTGTGTACCTTTAAAATGATTTATGGAATATAAATAGACCATATACAATTTTGATTTAAGCTTTAAAGGTACACTACCTGCTCCTTTCTAGCTGAAATATATACTAAAGGTACAAAAGGTGTGTCCTTAATGGCTCAGAGACAAGGAAAGTTTTTTATTTTATTTATTTTAACTGTGTAACATGTGGTGAGAGAGAGGACACAAGTGCGTATGTGTTTTATTGGAGCAAATCCAATAATCATAATCCAAATGCATAGCAGGGGTCAAAACACCAGCAGGCAAAGTTGAAAAAAGATTGTTCATAATTATAGCAAACACAGAAACGACTGAAAAAAACCCCCAGAAACTAGAAACACAAGGCTTGGAGAAAAAGACTTTACAATGAACAAAGAAAGACACTCAGAGGCAAACTAATTCAAAACTAACATGGAACAGGTGAACACAATCAGGGAACAGACCAATGACACGACAGGGGCGGAGAACAGACCAAAACAAAAAAAAACAAGTGCATGGTATGGTAAAGAAAAGCACATGGAGAACCTGTAACAAAACATGACGCAAAATGCAGAGTGCATTGCGGTTAACAACATTCGGGGAATTCATGAGCAAGAACAATGCAGCATTTATTTAAAAAATTACATTTGTAAAACGACGTTAAGGTTAGGGTTAGATGTGTGTCAGCATGTTGTTATACTTGCAAATTTGGTGACATTTTGCAATAATGATTTGTCGTTATTATGGATTGGCGAATGAATAGTGTTACATAAACACTTAAGTCACTGCTTAGTGTTAATGTACTAACATAGAATTAACTAACATAGAATTACTGAGTACATACTGTAAGTACAGGGTCCTGGGTTTACTGTCTGTGTGGAGTTTTGCATGTTCTCGCATGTTCATGTAGGCTTCTTCCAGGTTCTCTGTTTTCCTGCAACTGTCCAAAAACATGCTAGTAGGTGCTAGTAGGCAGAATGGTTATGCTAAATTGCCCCTAGGTGTGACTGAGTCTGCGAATGTCATGTACATGATACCTTGCGATGGACTAGGGTGAATCCTTGTGCCCAGTGTTCCTGGGATAGGCTCCGGACACACTGTGACCCTGACCAGGATAAAGAGGATGGATGGATGGATGGATGATTATTGAAGGTGCCACTTTATTTGAAGGGTACCTGCATAGGGCATTCATAACATTCATAAGCATTGTGTGAATCGTTTATGTAAGGCTTACTGTATGTAGGTACCCTTCGGGACTCAGAGGATAAAAAGATGTAGTGAAAGCGGAAGACTGGAGAAGTACCACAGAGGTCACTGGGTCAATGACTGTACTGTTATGGCAGTTTTATTAAAGGGAATGTAAATAGAGAAACAGAGATGAAAAAGACTGACGACACTGACAGAGACTCAAAACAACCCAGGCCGAGACACAACAAATAACTTCTGCCCTTTTTAACCGTCCCTGTTTCAAGTAAACCCGTGTTGTTTTTTATCATTGTTCTTGCATGGATATGTGAGTTATAACTGTAAGTATGTCAGGTGCTTAAAAAAGTGAAATCTATAAATATGCAAAAAAAGAGAGAGCAATTTATAGCACAGGTAACATCTTGACTTAACAGAAAAGTGAATAAATACAAATTCGTGAAGGTACAAGCAGGTTTTCAGTTCTCTCTTTTGTAATGAGATGCAATTAAAAAGTAAGTCTCTGGACCAAATACTTCCTAAATTATTAAGTGATATGTCAATGTGCTAAATACAGAGTGTGTGCTTGTGATTTAGTGGGAAATTTGGCATGTTGTGAAAAATCAAAACGTTGAAATACAAATTTATTTGCCAAAAAACATGCAGTATTACAACAGGATAAAGAGAAACGTATTTAAATTTTAAAGTTATTTAAAAAAATTTTGGGGAAAAAGATTGTTTCTTTGTTTTTTTTTAAATCTCAGAGTCTGATTTTTTATTGTTTTCATAGCTCACTGGTTTAGTATTTCAGTATTCCTGCATGTGGTCATGATTAATTGTTGAATGGGTTAAACAGTTAGAAATGTTAAAGTCTTTGTCACGCCATGTGGCAAGAATTGAGTGAGCTTCAGTAAAACAGAGTAATCAAACATGCTCAAAGGCGAACCAAGACTGCAGTCCACACCATGCAGAGAAAATAAACTGCAGAGGTTTGGAGAGCACACACACACACGCACGCACACACACACACGGAAAGATGAGAGAAAAAAACTAAAGACTAAATACATAATTCATGTTCGTATTCAGTATTTTCCTCTAGTTTACATACAGTTAAAGTTTACGTAAGTTTGACAAATGTAACCACACTGAAAAGAATATAGGACACACACATAAACAGACTCTCAAACTTGCAAAACCATGCATAAAAAAATACGCAAATTTGAACAAGCAAATAAAATGTGGTTGGATTATTGTACCATTTTATACAAACAAAGTTCGACCATGTTATAAGTCAAGATTTTTTTTTCCATCATGCCATCATGTATTAACTACATGGATGAATGTGCTTATTATTTTACACATTCAAACATGTATGGGTTTTAAAAAAAATTTGTACCCCCTGAAAATAATAATAATAATAATAATAATAACTTTCTAATTTCTTATATTACATGCAGCATTCTTAAATAAAAAAAACAGATATCATGTTAATTTTCAGTCACACAAGTCTGAAAAATATAACCAATATAATGAATTTATTATTAAATAACTAACTAACTAACTAACTAACTAACTAAATAAATAAATAAATAAAGACTCATTAATTAAAAAAAAGACTAAAATGACTTTTAGTTATTGTGGCTCTGTAAAATTCTATTTATCGAATAAAAATCGCTAAATCCCTGATTTCATTAAATGCCCTGAATGCAATGCGTACCTTGGCTTCATCAGGGATTAAAAAAAAAATGAAATGTTAAAAAAATGTTTAAATAAAAAACATTAAAATTAAAGTTTAAAAAAATTAAATAAATAAATTAAATAAATAATTAAATTAATTTTTAAGCCATATGAAATGGAAATATATATATATTTTATATATATACTTTACTTAATATCTTTAAATGTTTGTCTGGTTCTGTACCTTTTACAGTATAATTTCAGATGATGATGATGATGATAATAGGATATAAAAGGATTGAAAAGCTTCTTTCCTGCATGGTGCAGTGTCATTTCTCACCACAAGGTGACAGAATTGTTTTTTTTTTATTTTTATTAAACTCTATAAAATACGATATTTAAAAATTTGTTCTCTCTTTTTCCCTTGATACAATCTCTTCTGCAGCTTTTTTGTCTAAAAATCTTTTTTGCCTGTTTTGTCTAAATCCTGAAATAAAAGTAAAACACAGCAAAACAAAACAAACAAACAAACAAACAAAAAACAATAGAAATAATTAAACTAAAAAGCCCACCTCTATTCATCATAAAATGTCTCATTTTGCATAAATTGTTCATAAAACCTATAAACAAATCAGGTGTAAAATCTTGTGGTTTAGTCTTTCGAGTTATGAAATGATTAAAACAGAAACATAATGCTCACTTGAGAAAGCTGAGACTGAGCTTCAGTGAGCAGCGGTTTGTAAGAAATTATTCAATGTCTCACTCATTTTTATCCTAACTGATGGGTTTGTAATATTTGTAATATTTGTTTGTCCCTCATCATTATCATGCTGCTGCTGATTATCACAAATCCATGAAATCACATGAATGAATCATGTGACATTGTAGATGTTTCCATTGTT